TCCCCCCATTTTATACATCGTAAGGACACAAGCTAACCAAAAGGGTTGAATCGAAGCAGCTAATACAGCATTTGATTCTATATCACTTCGCAACGATTCTAATAGTGGACTTGTGCATATCACACGTAAATCAATAAAGAGGACAAGGACGTCATGTTCATTTATGACTTTTATGAACACGAAAATCGTTCACAAAGTTCAGATATAGGGAGATGATATTGTATTCAAATCCAAAAAATGTACTAATGATGTGAGAAAGATGGTAAAAATGTAGAGGACCCACGAGATTCCTTAAAAGAGAATACAGATGTGATAGGAATTAATTAAACATGACCTAACGAATCTGGAGGTATTTGCAGCTCTTCCGAACCAAAGATGGCCCCTTGAAGTTGACAGGAGTAAGACCAGCTAAGGGTTCTAAAGGAGCTATGGCCATTAATTTGGTTGTAGGTAGATATGTGATGCCAGATTGAAGTACTTGAATCAATACCTGACAGCCACCCCTCTTTCTACATATGTATAAACTCGTGGAAAGAGGAGAAACAGGCAGCCCCAAATAATGTCAAAAAGCACAATAGCAAATTCAACTTATGCTTGGGCTGAGACAATGGACGAGCTAAACAAAAGAGAATAACACACCAAACTGAGAAGGTGCGAAACATTTTCAACCATTCAACAAAGTAGACAAAAGAATAGGAAAGAATATAATTTGCTAGTTTAAATAACAAGTATTCAAAGTAATCGAATGATATAGAAATTGCTAGCGTATCATAAACGTTTTTTTCCAATTTCTAGATTGGGTCTGTAAGAATTTAAAAATTTTAACAAAAGAAAGTACCTGAATCAAAGCGACCTCCCTTCCATCGCAAATGATATTCACTTTTGGCGACTTCACTTTCAAACTGTGCTTATGTCGATTGGTAGCAGAGCTAGCCAGGCAAACGTCACATCCATGGAGCATAACAGCCACGGAATGCCTTCCCGACTCGTAAGCAAGTCGAGTGACCGAGGTATTGTGTATATCCACACTCCACATAGAAGCCGTAGCCGACGTCGGAGGAAATTTCGGAGGAGCTTCGATTGTCTCTACATGCAGACGCCTTCGAAGAAAGTTCCTAGCGAGAAGAAGAAACTCCAGAACACATATATGAGTTCCAGGGTCCAGTCGAAGGTCAACCGATTCGATGATACTGACCTCCACAGACTAGGAAAAAATGAAACAAAGATAGCTAAACATCAAGGAAACAAGGTCGCCTTTAAAGAACTCATATATGAACTTACTCTTAAAGCCAGATTACAGCAAACTTGGAAAGCGGGCATTGTAAGGAGATTGATTGACTTAGATGGAGTAGGTATGACCATCTGAAACTCGCTATTTGAGACGGTGAATTCAAGGAAAAGGGGTGTTGGTGATGAATTCGACTGTTGGCGCTGAGATGAGAGGGAAAACGGAGTGCGAGAGGGAGAGAAGTGTGGAAGTGGTGATGCAGAGCAGTGAGCCCGAGTTAGACCACATTCAATACGAGCTAAATTTAAAGCAAAATTTAGAATTAACGGTGATTACGTATATAAAACCTTCAGGATATGAGCATCGATATATCCAAATATTTGCAGTTTAATATATGATCAAAAAATACTGATAGTTACAGAGTCAGATATCAAAATTTAAAAAAATCTTTAGGAGAAATTTTCCGTTCAGGAAGTTATAGCAGATTGCAGATAAAAATTACAATCAGAGCTATTTAACATTTACTTATTTAAGTCCATTAATATCAGCCACAATGTACTATTTTATTTACACACGTAAGCTGCTAACTTGCTGAAATTTGATCACTGCAGTTATTATAAACGCCTTTATATGATAGTTGCAGCTCCAAAACCGTACCATAACTGTGGCGATATGATTAACAAGCAAGTCCTAAAATATCGATAGCCAACGGTGAGCGTCTAGTGATGTTGGTAGCAAATAGCATTGATTAATTCTGATCAAAAGCAGTGGTCGAATTTGGCCTCAAGGCACCTTCCATCTACTCAAGTCAAAATTAATCCTTCATTATTGCCATTAATTTAAAAAAAATGCTCCGTAAGTTTAGATGATAAAGCGGAAGTGACAGTCTCATCAAGGGCAAGAAAAATTTTTCAATGAAAGCCAACATGCATTGAATAGAAGGAACAGAAGAGAAAATCAAGGTCAGTTGAGAAGCGGCCTGCCAAATAGCCTTTTCTCATTCTCATAAAGTTTTTGCATTTCTTATGGGATTTAGAATTCTAGTGATAGAAGCATTAAGAACTTATTTTGTTCGCCGCTCTCACTTTAAAACAGATTCTCTGATATAATAGTAAAAATGCATATCTTAATTTATTTAGAATAGTGTGAATTAATTGGTTAATTCCCATGTCCATTTCGGAAAGCATAGTCCGATGCTCATCTTGGGCAGAGAGTGGCATCATAGAGCCCCCAGTGTGAGAGACTAGAATCCTGCCACCTTTCACATTAGCCAATCTTAACTGATGCGGTTGGGATTCCGTTCACTTGATGTGCGCCAATGGTAACAGAACATTTGACCTCTGAATTAGCAGAATGGCACAGTGGCCAATGCCCCGCCGGTGCACTAGTGGACCCAAGAGCCAAGTCATTAAAAAGCTAACATTCACGTGTCCATAGAATTCGGAATGATCCAAGTGAACTAGTATAACGCAAAGTACATTCAAGTACTAATTATTGTCACTAATGTAAAAAGCTGTTTTCCAGGTATCCGTTCCTAATTTATAACAGATAATGAGAATAACATCAATAAGCATTGTTCCAGATTCAAAGTTGCGCACAAAACGGTACTATGTCAGTTGACCTCTGCGCATGTGAACAGTGTACGAGCATTGTGTGAGCATAAATAATGCCATCATAAAACTCAGGTTAATTTAATCCAGCAGTTACTTACTCGAGTAATTAAATTAACCTAACTAAACTCCCCTAAAACGCAAATTCTAACCTGATGCATATATTTCTGCATGCATATTTGCCTTAGGAAGGATGAATATTTCTATCAATTTCTTTAGTATTTGTACGAGTAATCATCGAACAATCATTGTACATGGGAATACTGAAAATATCGAAAATATCCACAGGCTACTACTTCCATAAGACTGGAAAATGGAGGGGTTAATAGAAGAATGTGTATTTTTGTCTAGAATTTCGCTAAATCAACTGAACTCGTAATATTAAAACTAATTAGAAATGAGGAATAATTAAAAGACCAAAACTGAATAATAAGCTAAATGAAGTAGAGAATTGCATCCCTAAGTTAAATGCTTTAGATAGGGATTGTGATGTCATTTAAAATAGAATAACAGGTAAAGATAGCAGTATGTAAGACCAAGCAATAGAGAGGACAACTTTGTAAAGATTCGCAGAGCATAATCTGAAGTTAGATCATAAGGACCACTATAGAAATCCCAGCTAAGATCGAAGAAAAAACGTCAACAGAAGGGACAAATGTCAACGTTGGTGGAAGCAGAGATAATAAAATGTTCAATGTCCCCAAAAAAAGGACTAGAAAGCATTCACTATCAATGAAATTTATCACACATTGACCTAGTTTCACACACCATCGAATAAATTCGTTGCTAATGCACAAATAAAACTAAGCAATCCATTAGGAAACAAACCCACCTCCACAAGACGATATGAAAACCATCTGCAAAGTTTCAAAATGTCCATCCAGAGTGAATCTCTGAAGTGATGTAACAGTAGCTACGTTGAACCATCGACGAAGAAATCGCCCACTTCGACGATGCGCGCGATTAGTTCCACCGAGACCGGACAAACCGATGGAATCTATTTTCTGCAAATGGGAGTGGAATTTCGCCATCAACGAAGAAGGCATTTCGATGGCGACATCGGAGATACGGAAGCCGAACACATCCGCATGGCACTAACGGAAAAATAGATACTAAAGTTATGAAAACCCATAGCAAAGAAAAAAGAGAAAGAGGATAACTAACCCAAGCAGAGAACTGAGAAATGTCATACAGTTTCGACCTCTTCTCATATTCAACATCCGTTGCAAAAAGATTAGAAATTGGTACTGAGGAAATAGAATCTCCCTGCCCTTTCTGGTTTAGGCAGAAGTTCATTTGACGGTATTTGGGAAGGATCGCATAAAGAGAGAAGGAATTGGTTTCAAAGACAAAATTTAGCGTTTCAGAGACTGCAGATGGCAGAGTAACAGCCAACTTAGTCTGCCCGATGAAATGAACAAGGGCTGGAGTGGGCGTGTCTGGAATGAAGACCAAGCGGATAGCCTGCAAAGTGAAAACACAAGAGTCCTATATAAGCTACTTAACTTTGGTTTACTTAAAACTGATAACGGCACGCTGATGTGAATTAATTTGCATACTGCGGAATTCTTGCAATATATTTAATGTAAAGGCATAGAAATTTATAACTCAAGCTGATATTAGTCTTTACAGGGTTGGATATAAACACAAATAACTTCGTTATATGAGGAAAGTTTTAGATTTTAAAGGACATATGTTTAAGCTATGGGCGATCAAAATAGGACAGGCCAAAAGGCATATTATATTTATTTTTTTCTTGCACTTGAACGGAAAATAGTGAAAAATATCAACTTGAAGTTGAATACTATTATTTAGGGATTTTTTATAAAATTATTTATAGTTTATCATAATTACAATAATTCAAAATATAATATTTTTGAAAACTTATTCACCGAATCCGATAGAGATGTTTTCAGATGAATGGATGCATGAATCGATTTCTCTTCTAATGACTTTGGACCAGTTGCACCAACACCAACAGTAGACTTGTTGCCAGACAAGAGCCAGCTATGCGACAAGAAAATCGAATGTATTGTACTTTGGAGAGCTGCAAAGAATGCTGTTTCCACGGGATCTTGAGCCAAACCAAGAAAAATTCCTTGAAGAGTTAATGAAGCATTCACCTTTTCTTCACTCAAACTAGATCCAAATTCCATATGTTCAATCGAGAATTCTCTAGATGCATTGCAGGTATCCATTAAAAGGCCACTGAGAAGTTGCAGATTATCCAGATTGAATACAATATTCTCAGAACTTTTCGAAAACCGAAGAGTATCTACAGTCAAGGATAAACTCCTTTCAAGAGGTTGTCGGAAGAGATTGATACTAATCGCAGATTTTGATTTTGAATAGGGTGAGGGGAGAAAATCAATGATGAAGGAAGTAGTTGTGGGCTCCAAAGCATGTGGAACTCGGTCTTGAATAGGTAGGTCATTTTGTAGGCCCTCGATGGGATATATGCATTTTCCAAAGGTCCATAAATTGACTAATAAAAGAATTATAAGCGTAAAACCAAGAAGCTTACCTTCTCGTGACATTAAGAACGCACCAAGAACTTTAACAGAAACTACTCTCTTCTGAAAACAAATTTTAATCTCAACAGAGGAACTGAACATAGCCACAAAATCCCCACAGATATGAAGACGGCGGCAGAATAGGCAAGAAGAGGAGTTCAACGTAATACCATCTGCTTCCAACTCCGAGTGTGATTCTCCACACCGTTCGCATGTGAACTCATCTCCATTAAGAAGGTTCACAGATATAAGAGGTTTGATAACAAGATTTCCGAATGTAATTGAAACTTCTTGTTTAAATTTGTGGCCGGAAAGAATGAGATTGTCTATATATAAACAGGTGACAGCATTGTGATTATTGATTGTTGAGATCTGTGGAGGGTTGAGAGCCTTTGTTCGAGTATAAGAGAGATGAATGCGACAAGATTTTATCACTAATGAAAACCACTAAATAACTTCATTATGGTAATATAAAGTCATAATTACTGATGGAATGTTAACAGATATACTTTTGTTCGGCTGATTAGTCGGATGTTTCCGTGCGCATTTACTCAAATATAAAATCTTTGCAAGACCATCCGGAGAAGTGCAAATATGAATACAAGATATGAAAACGCAAATAAACGACCTAGCATTAGCATTCAGCAGCCAACTAGTAAGTTTTATTCTATCGATCTCCTAAGAAAGAATTCAAATCAGTGTATTGCGCATACTATAGAGTCTCCAGTGAGAAATGATACTCGAACAAGATATGCACCACGAAAATTTAGTTTTGAGTAAACTATTGCACAGGGAAATATCTGTTTTAAACGCCAGGAAATTGTGTAAAAAACAATTCTAGAAAGAATGAATTAACTAATCTTCCACCTTGCCTTGGAGTAACAGCAATTAAAAGAATAGCAAGAAATACGATGAAAAATATCATCTGGAGCATCTCTGGTTCTTCATTGGGCTTTAACTAACATAAATGTGTGCAATCAATTAGGAAAACATCAAGTTTCTAGGTCAAGGATTCCGTAAAGCGCGCTTCTTCATGAGCCAATTAAATTTCGGCCTATCACTCCAATAAAAATTACAAGTGTTTTTATTAATAATCTCTGAAATTTCTTCCAACTTAATTTAAGTAATGTATCAGCAATTAGAAGTATTATTAGAGATCATACATTTGGTTACATGATATATAATCCAAGATCTTAGCTCGAGTGATTTCCAATGAATTTACAACTTTAAAACATACTTCACCATATATACAAATTTACACATTTTTAATATCTCTCACTTATCTTGTAAACATAAAAAATTGCTTGTAATGAAAACTATTGCCAGTTCTAATTTTAATTATTTGAGAATTATTTCAACTTTCGGCATAGTTCGAGACAAAGCGATATCATCGTAAACAATCCATGAGGCTGGAGATTCAAGTTACTTCATGAGTCCTTCGTTGATTTACATGCTTAGTAATCTTCTGAAAAAATCATTTTTTAAATTATTTCATCGAACTGAAAAGGGTGGCAACTCAATTATCAACACGTTATTTGATTTATTATCTTTTTATGATTAGGTTTACATCAAATAAACAATTCTTATTAATTTACGGTAAAAATTCTCTACTAATGAGCTAAAAATTACAGTAATTTCTAACTTTGTCAAAGAAGTAATATGTTTAATTTTGTATAAACATTTGCCAATTTATTGCTAAAAATTGGAATTCGAAAAATGTTATTTAAAATCATCGGTAGCAACAATACCATATCTGGTGCATTTAAATAAGAGGTTTCTCCTCAAGTTAATTAGAGAAATAAACTATAATACGTCTTGTAAAATCTATCATTATGATAGTCGATAAGAGGCAGACACGACTTCTTCATCAATTGAAAGCTAATCCTCACTTAATAACTGAACGTAACTCTTCACTCTCAAATATTCTTATTCGAGTCGGCTAAGTAAAAGACATAAAAATCCTATTAAATCTAAATCAATTGTATCCGCATTTGGAAACAACGAAGCTAAAATAATCATACTTTTAATACTTTGTCCCCAATACAATTTGGAAATTGCTTGCCTTACACAAAGTAAATTTAAGTTTATTTCAGTTCATTTGATTAGAAATACTTGCCGAAAATTCTAAAATTGAGGAAATTCTTGAAAGTCATTGATGATATCATGAATGGATTGGAATTAATTTAACCTTTTCCACTACATTTTAATATATTAAGAGTTTGTATTCTAATTCAATGCAACTTAAGGTATTGCTCTTTTGTTTTTTGCTTTCGATGACATCTAAAATAATAAACATGATAATTATTGTAGCATTAACCTAAAGAGATTTCCCCCATTTTAACAGACAATTAAAACTTACATCATTACCTAAACTTAAAAAAATACTATGATTTTATTGGATTAATGAGCAGTGTTTTCATTCTCTAAGTTGGGGGGCGGGGGGGGAGGGTGGGGAGTGGGGGTGGAGGTATACAACTTGGTTGCCTAAATATACCGGCTTTAACCTGTCGATGTTTATTGAATTCTTGGTACCGTGGAGAACAAAAATGAGGCTTTTAATAACTTTGTTGGTTCCGTCATACGGTGGTTGCAAAGGTTTCCTCACTATGTCTACTCCAGCATAAAACGAAGGAACATGCTAAAAAGTTTTTTATGAATTTGTCCCGGTCTATCATTCAGATGGGTGGGTATTGGGCGTAACCGAGTTGAATACGATATATAAAATTTCTTTGGCGAATTGAAAAATAAAGTCCAAATGATGGATTTCCTTGGGAGAATGATAGTCCGAATATGCTCATGTAGCGTAAATTAAAGGTTTGTTATCGGTGAAGTTGATGAATTATGGTTCTTCCAAGTTATGCAGAAAGGGTATGACTACTAAGGAGACAGCGAGCAGTTTCCTGCCAATTTGGTTGCATTTTGTTTTGGTAAACGTTACCCTCTTCGAGGAGGATTATGGTTGAATTTGGCCATTGACAATCTGTTACAGAACTGCCCCAACTACCACTTGAGATGCATTCATCTTTAAAACAATTTGTGTCCCACTGGAGGTGTGGAAATGATTCAAGGTAGTTATATGAATAATGTTTGATTGACCATATCAAACGCTGCTCTCATGATAAAAGGCTTCAAGTTGCCCTTAATCAGGTAAGTGAGTCTGGGGGGGGGGGATTCGACCACAGTTTTGAATGAATCATCCACCACGCCTTGGAAATGATGAAGACTTTCCACTGATTGGGAATGGGTCCATAAATCGTTGTAATGCTTGTTCAGCGTTATGGAGACAAAAAAAACCATATGTAGAACTTGAGAAGGCCGAATGGAATGATAGCTGTTGTTTTCGCGCTATCATCTTGAGTCACTGGTATCTGTTGATAAGGTCGAACAAGGTCCAGTTTGGAGAATAGGATTTTAACATTGAGTTGAAGCGAGGAACGGTGAATATAAAAGATGGGTAAACGATAATTGGTAGTTATTTGATTGAGAGCACAATTATCTCCACATGATCTCCAGTCACCTTTGATCTCAGCGACCAGGTTTAAAGAAAAAGCCCATGAACCACTTGAATATTAAACAATGCCTAATGATACCATGTGTTGAAATTCCATTTTAGTAGATGGTAACTTGTCAGGATGAAGACGACGTGCCTTAGTCAAAAAAATAATAATATAATGCCACGTTCCATGTTTGAGCTCAAAAATATCGGACTGAACATGAAAAATAGTTGAAAACTCAGATAAGGTATTGGTGAGGATTTCTGAAGAGAAAAGGATTTGCAGGTTAATTGAGTGCAAAACACCTGAAACAAAATCCTCTTGAAAGATAAAGCTGTAGAGCAGGATGAGGTGACTGAGATCGACAAGTAAACCAAATTTGGAAAGAAAGTCTGTACCAATAATAGGTTTTGTGTATTAACGGTTAAAAAACAAATTGGAACTCTTGACGAAGTTAGAAACTGGGTTGGAGAAATTTTGGCCGTAAGTGTTAATCCTGGGATTATTTGCCACATGAGGGATAAGGCTGAGATGTTGGAGGAAACGATTTTCCGTATAAAAAGGAATAACGCTAACTTCAGAAAACATTTAAAGTAATTTAAATTTAGAATTTCTGTTAGTTACTTGAAAGCTACTAGTGAAATGGCCATGGTCAACTAGTCCTTTTGGTCTGGCATATTTACAACTTGGATGGTATCTCTTGACGTCGTCTCCATAAGTTCTGTGATAAGAGCAGATTTGCTTTCTGTGTTTTGAGGTACCACAAGGTCACTTTGAAAACACAGGTCAGAAGGAGATGACCCGTACAAGGAGTTTTAGTTTCTCTAGCCGCTCAGTAATGACACCCAGTCGCTGCAAGGTGTTGACAGAGGGAGCTAAAGTTCTGACTCCATTATTGCCTGGTCTATTATAAAGTTCGTGGATTTAGTAGGCAACTTCAACCAATTTGTATAGATTGCCTTGATGAGCGCTGACAATTTTTTACCAAGGGTAGGCAATGGAATTCAAATCATTATGGATCAAACAAAATTTTGAAACCAATGAAATGCATATGTTCCATACCAGTTAGAGTACTGTCTGAGAGGATGCTAAAACCCAACTCCTGAAATTAGCTAAGCTACCTTAACGATACCACTGTCGTGAATGTGCTTATTGTGGTTGTGATGATCAGGATGTCACTGGCATAGAACTTAATTATTAAATACAGTTTTTTGTCTACGCTGACCATGTTAAGACTATTGATTGTTGATTGACTGAGTGGTCTCTGCACTAGCGACCTCACATAGTTCATAGCACGACCAGCTGAAGAATGAGATTCCTTGGGTCTGACACGCTTGCGATGTACTCTCCACATGCCTAAAGTCATGAAGTGCAGCATTAATTATCTAACGCCCGGTTCACCGGATAAACCAGTTCCATTATTTCTATGTATGTGCATTTATTCTTAAAAGGGATGTTGTGAATATGATATTGCGAAATGGGCCAACTTAAATTTACAATTTTGCTTAAATTAACGGAAAATCAGCACTTGCGAAATTAGGTATAAATGTAATGGCGGTTCAGTAAATTCAAACAAGTCTACTATATGTAACAAAATATCTGTAATCTATGTGTTATTCGACATGCACTGTATCAGAACTTCACAGGCAAGCCTTTAACTGAACTTTAGCAATCCTCCTACAAATCCAACTAACTGCATTTTCGAAAACGAGTTTGCAGTGGGGCCTTCTAATATTAATTTCCCCGAAAATTAGCAAGAATAAACACGAAAGTGGTGAGAGAACAGGGCTTTGCTGTGAATGCTTGCTAACTTTATGTAAAATCAACATAAACACATCCCGGCTAATGATCACTGATTGTTTGGCGGCCTCTGTAAACAACCGAGCTTTCTCAATATGCGAACTTCCTTACAAATTCTCTAGACAAGTCAGCACACTTTTCATGAGACTGTTCATCGCTGTCACCGCTGAACAAAGTAATCTCATGACCACTTAGAGGGGCTTGAAAGTGCGGCGTGCAACTTCGCATAGGGGGTAGGCGCGGACGTGAGTGCGAGCACACGACCAACTGCCAGTCAAGAGTCCTCTCTTGGTTTATCAAATCCACTATTTTAATTAATGCATAAGCTCTTTGTCTGTGCGCACGCCACATGCACTATACCCAAATAAACATGTTGAACGTGAAACATCTGTTTCAATTATGGCTTTTGCGGTAGCTTAGCTAGTTCTGGGAGTCTTTACAAACATAGAAGAATCTACCATAGAAATTACTGAGTATAGCCAAGGATTATTAGTGTAGCAATCCGCTACAGTATCGTGTATTTAACTACAGAATTGGCAAAATCTCAAAAATGACCCAATTTAAATATGGCCCTGATTTAATTTTGGACGATTATCTTGTTTCTAATCTTCTATTTAAATGATATTCGCGCATTTCTCTTTATTGTATTTGTCAGTTATTTTACCTTTTATGGGAAATGTTCCCCGAACCTTTAATCTTTAGACTTTTGCCACCGGCTTATAACGAACAACCAAGGTGCCAGTGATCCAGAGGTCGAAAATTTTTTTAGAAGGCTTGAAAGTCGTGCACCCGCATCATCGATTTTTTAACCAATATGTCGGTAAATTTTTTAAATGAGCCCATTAAATAATTTAGTTATATACGCACTATTTCCATGGGAATAAATCTATCACAGTCAAACTAATGCAAAAAATATAATAAATTAAATGATAATTAAATTTGCAGTCCTTTTAATGTGAATCTTATTCTTTCCTGGGGTTCTGAATTTTTCACCAAAGCGAGATTTTTCACAAATTTTATACCTCCAAAATACTCCGTTGATTTTCACTCAAGATTTCGATTTTCGATATTATTTAGTCCGCTTTATAGATGATTAGAAATTAGAAGAGGATTTCGGAACGTTTAACTAATTTTCATAACATTTGTTATAGTGGTGTTTTTCCCTATTCATTTTCTATGTAGGCGTACCTTCATGGAAAGTATTGCGAATCATCTTTGTGTGAAATATTTATTTATTTATATCAAATGGCAGGCGTTTTGATAGTTGTCATTAGCCCTTTAGTTGACTTCAGGCTTCACAGAGGGGAAGGAACATTAAAGTGAAAAAAGTCGAGAGAGGGGTGGGGAACAGAAGAGTGTTTCAAAGATGTAAAAGAGACAGATACAATGGGGGCAAAAAGGTGAGGTGAGTACTGTGAAAGTAGTCGAATATGACATAGAGTGGGGTCATGGTAGTTTGAAGTCAGAAGTCAACTACCGTTTTATAGACTTTTTTGCCGTATGAGTATACGTTGCCCAGGGTGTACCACGTGGAGGTAAGTCTATCGCACACCCCTTGAGTGAAATATCAAATAGAGTCCAAATTTGAACTTTATTTGGAATGGAATGGGGCGTTAAGAGATGTGCTGTCTAATGACTTCGAATTCGAAAATCGTAGCATTTATGAGGTTGAGTAGTGATGGAGCTAGGGGTAGTCGAAAGTTCCTTTAAGTCTCTATTATTTCCTACAATTTAGCTAGATTAAACTTATGTTTACTTGTTCCTCAATAAGCTTTCTCTTGCTAAGGCTAGATGTACTTAATTTCCCGAACCACAATGGTAATGCTAGAAATACTTTCTTTTGGTCAAAAGGGGCATTTTGAAACCGTTCTTCTAAATCATCAGATGACCATAATCAATTAGTATGACTGGGCATTCTTGTCGCTTGAGGTGCATCAATTAGCATCAATCCTCTGACCTACTGCAAGTCCTCTGGAGTGCAGAAGTGCGCACAGGCCATTGCTTCAACGGTAGTTGTTTCACTACCAGATTTTACTATTTGCCAAAAAAGCAGTTTATGCTGCCTATTAAGCTGAACGGGAGATGTAAGTATTTTTCCGTGACACTTCCGCGTTATCATTTAGATCGAATCAGCAAAGCTGTTTGTTTACATTATAAGCGAAATTACTACCTTAAGCCAGAACAACAATAGTTGAATTGTGAACTCGGGGTGGGATGAGAGGGAAACAGGGAAAGGAATAGGAGAAGGAACTCAGAATAAAAAAAACAATTGATAGGTGGCTGAACAGATTAAATCGAGAGGGGTTTATACCAAAAAGGTGAAATTACAGAGAGCATTGCTGATATTTAAGTACTTCGATAGAATGTTGCATATTTTCGGCATATAGAGGTCTTCATTTAAAAATAACTTAGCGAATTGTTTGATATTGGTGAAATTTGCAGGAATTGGAACACAATGTTAAAAAAATTGCCCCAATGTTCGAATCGATTTTTGACAAAGACGAACTCATACTCATACATTTAAGAAAAATAAATTGCCAAGTCATCACAACATCTTTTGAAAAATCAGGCGTCAATTACAAGAACTTTGTCGCATTCCTCTTCACTACAATCCATAAACTATGTATTTTGACTAATGATAACTTCTTTTGATTCTCCGACTTAGCAAACATTTGCCACTCTCGTAATTCTGCGTTTTAATTTGCAAGAACGCCTTTTAAGATAAGAAATCATTATCTGTTATTTGAAAGCAAACATAAGTCATTTATTATCTGTGCATCAATGCTTTGAAATAAAAAAATTATTTCTTCGACGTAAAGATTAATTTCAAACGTAGTGACTGCGAATAATTTCGAGTCTACAAAGGAGGTCAGTTAACAGTCTTATTTCAAGCAAAGTAATCTGACATATGGGAAGAATCTAGACCACAAATCATGCTCTGGATAATTGAAATGATGAAGGACATTGGAGATCTACTATCAGCAGTTTTAAACTCATCTGCACTAGCGACCTAATTACTCACAAGGCGATTAAAACGCTGTTGTCGTGCTTTACTGCCTACATGTTTAAACATGCACCTTCAAAATTTCTTACGCTATGATTCAGCTAATAATTTGCGACATTTCCTTAACTCAATACCGGCATTATGATTAGCATTGACCGGAATTATGCCGGGTTTCAAGCAATATTGGACTTTAGTTTTTTCACATCGACATTAACGTAATCGCAAACATGTCAATAAATAGAAAAAGCCAGGTAACAAAGATATCAACCACACCCCCTTGCGACTGGAAGATTTATATAAAAAGCCCATCGGCCAAATGTCAGCACGGGAAAGGGCGTGTTTGCATCCTACAAGTTTAGTAAAAGCCTCTGTAGTGTTGAGCAGAAGAACGTAATAAATAGTTTGAGGGGAGCAGATCTACTGAGTACCCGTTCCAGATGGTGAAAATGAAAAGGTACTCCAATTTGTACGTTTTAGGAGGATAGCGAAATTCAGCGGATAATTTTAAGTAAATTATGTTCATTCGGTCTTATTGATTGCATTAGTATGAAAATGACAAAACAATAACACCAGGTTTAAAAGTGCAAAGCAGCTAAACCAGGACATGCAACAACTACACCCGTGTAGTGTTAAGCCACTTTTACAAAGGAAAAAATCAAAACATTTTCGCAATACAAGAAAAAAGGAAGAAAATGCAAAATGAAATCAGAAAGAGCGAATAGAGAATTTTATTTTACTGATTTCTGTAAGATAGGGGGAGCGTTCTGCAGGGAAAAACTAATTTGTTTTCTTTGCTTCAATAACCAGAGGTCCGATATTATCACCAGTCTCTTTGTTATAAGAATTGTGTGCCCCGTCACAGTATGGAAACTAGAAAGAAATTAATATCTGTAAAAAAATCACCTACCTTTTTGGATTTCCAGCATCTGCAAAAGCTTGCTTTTCCGTTTATTGATTCTATATCGACAAAATCAACAACTTTTTCTTGATCCTTTTTTATTTCAGTATTGAATTGCTTAGAGAAGCCACGATTTTTTACCGTGAAATAAATGGAGTAACCTATTGCAGCAGAAAAACCACTGAAAAGTGTTAGGCCCAAAATGTCCTTGGCTAAAATCTTAAAACTAAGCTTAAAACCTACGTGATAACGAAAAGAGCCCGGTGAATGAGTCTGGAATGGGGACCGATGCTAACAAACCAGGAATATGAACCCGTACAACATTATGTAAAACATTCATTATTAGAAAACCAGGACTTCGTTCTCGTCCCTGTTATTCCTACAAGGATAAACAATTAAAATTTCACAATTAATTAAAAACATTAAGAGTGCATGTAAAGAAAAGAAATAGTAAATAAAATCATGATTTTTAATAGCTATATTTAAAACAGACTTGAAATATAAGAATATAAAATTGAAAAATTATTTTGCTCGATATGACCACTCGTTGCCTAAACCAATGGGATTTTAATGAATAAAATCTGATAAACATTCCGGAAGCTTAAGTAATTTTGTGGAAGAGTTCTAACTTTGGATAAGACTGAAAGTGGTTAATTTATTGTGGGCAAACTGTGTGCATACGAGATTTACATTTTGTTTGAGTTGTGACCAATAGATTTACCTCCCCAACGTATAATCATACGGTAAAAATTTCATAAGACGGCAGTTGACCACTTCCTTGGAACTCATTTTAAGTCGTTGAATCATCTTACCCCCCCC